AGACAAAGTAGTCTCTCTGAGGTGGAAGAGATCTCCTATAATCAATCTTTTCCAAATTGATGCCTGGTATCCCCTAGAAATGGTGCCATGTTAGGGACATATTATGGGTTCTGTACTCAGCTGTGACAGTAGTTATATAAAGTTGGTAAGAGGAGTCAATATTGTTGAGCTTTTGCATAGCTCTATTCCTCCTTCCATGTCCACTTTGTACATGGACTCATTGAGCAAACACCCGGATTGCTGGGAGGAAAGGCTAAATGATATCTACAGAGATGGTTATTTTTTTCCCCTCCCTGTTATTCAGTTTCCTCTATAATGGATGCCCTCAGTGGGTACATTCAATATCTGAATAAGTATGGACTATGTAGAAGGGAATACCAACTGGTAGACTTTAGCTCCTAAGATCCCCCTATTGAATTAATGGGATTAGTCATAAAAGAGACACCAGAGAGGTCCCTTGCCCCTTCTGCCATGTGAAAACATCTGTTATTGAACAGGCCCTCACCAGACACCAAAATGCTGGCACCTTGATCTTGGACTTCCCAGACTCCAGAACTGTGAGAAATAGGTATTTGTTGTTTTAGCCACGCAGTTGGTGGTATTTTTGTTATAGCAGCCTAAATTAAGACAACATCTTATTTTTCTAGCATCACTTGTTGAAAAATCTATTGTTCCCTGAATTACTTTAGGACCTTTAAAAAAATGAATTGACTATATATATATTTGCCTTTTTCTGGACTGTTTTAGTCCACTGATCTATATGTCCAGCCTATGACAATACTACATAGTTTTGATTACTGTAGCTTTATAGTCTTGAAATCAGTCAATGAATTCTCTTTGTTCTTCATATTCAAAATATTTTGGTTATCCCATGTCCTTTGATTTTCCATAGCTCACATACTTAGTACCTCATTTGATCCACTCAGAAGTTGTTAAAACCACCAGATTCATTCCTCTAGCTACGAACCCTACAGATAATATGTTTTACTTATCATTTTATATTCTGACAAAAAATTTTAAGCATTTTCATTGCCCTCATAAACTCATCGAACATTACCATGAATTAATTCCTGGATTTTTTTTTCTTTTTCAGATTTTTAAAAACTATGACAAACATAATCCATATCCTTAGGAAACAGTGGATATTAGTGAGCAAAGCAAAGAAAAAGAATAACAGATGGAGCTATAGAGCAGCAGAGGACCCAGGATATGGGACATCAGTGCCTACTAACATGGTTACAACTAGGGGATAATATAGGGATAGTCATGTCTACAGAGGAATGGCATGGAGGTATCTAGACATCAGGTGCCTGGCCTTATTTTTGAGTACAGGCAATACCGATTTTTGTCTACCATGCAGGAAACACCATCACCTGCTTTTTAGTGTACACATTTTCAGAGTCTTCTCTGTGCATTATGCAAACATATTCACATTTTTACAAAGTTGGGCTGACACTGTATATGTGGTTCTGAAAAGTTTTCTTTATTGTTTTACAAAGTACCGTGACCATCTCTTCCATGCACATGGATGAAAATCCAGTACTGAAATGGATAGAACTGTATAGTTGGACCAAAAGGCAGCTGGCAATAAGAATAGCAGACACCTACAGCAAAGTATCAGCTTAAGGTTAAAGCACATTGCCTGGCAAATACTCTCTCCCCTCCCGCCCAAGGGAAAGCAGGGTTAGAGTGTTCTCATCAGATAAATCAGATTTGAAGTCCAAGGGCTTTAAAGATATGGGATATTATGTAAACCCCTTTGGACCCTACCTCCATCCCTTACTCCCCTGACACCCTGTTGGCCCCTTGGGAAGAATGGATCCTGCACATCTCTTTGCATCCAGTGAAAACTACGTTTTCTGTCTTTTCCTTAGCTCTTCCCCAGCCCTTGCTACATCTCCACATTCTCTCATCCTCTCCACAATGCCCAAATGCCTTTTCTGTAATTGTCCCGATAATTCCATAAGGGAAGTATGCACAAGTGACCCAGGGTTCCTCAGCCAGAAAACTGACACATAGGATCCTAGGTACTTAATTAATAATTCCACCGAGCATAAATTACACAAGAGACAAACATACAATGCATGAATCACTCACGGTTTATTTACCAGAGTCCTGGTGGGTTCCAGAATTTGAGGCAGGTCACCTGGGGATTCACACTGACAGACACACACACAGTTCACGGAGGACTTTGTGTTTTTGTTTTTTAAGATTTTATTTATTTATTTATTTATTTATTTATTTATTTATTTATTTAATAAATCTTTATTGTTCAGACTATTACAATTGTTTCTCCTCCCCCCCATAGCTCCCCTCCACCCTGTCCCCGCCCCACCCTCTGCCCTTACCTCCCGCCCTGTTGTCCTCATCCATAGCTATATGATTTTTGTCCAGTCTCTTCCTATACCCCCACACAGACACCCCTTTCCCCTTGAGAATTATCAATCCCCTCCCATTCTATGCCCCTGATTCTATTATATTCACCAGTTTATTCTGTTCCTCGTATTTTTAATTCACTTGACTTTTAGATTCACCTGTTGATAGATATGCATTTGTTGTTCATAATTTTTATCTTTATTTTTTTTTTCTTTTTCCTCTTTTTAAAGAACACCTTTAGCATTTCATGTACATGGTTTGATGGTGATGTACTCCTTTAGCTTTTTCTGATCTGTGCAACTCTTTATCTGCCCTTCAATTCTGAATGATAACTTTGCTGGGTAGAGTAATCTTGGTTGTAGGCTCTTGCTGTTTATTACTTTGAATATTTCTTGCCACTCCCATCTGGCCTGCATAGTTTCTGTAGAGAAATCAGCTGATAATCATATGGGTGCTCCCTTGTAGATAACTGTTTTTCTCTTGCTGCTTGTAAGATTCTCTCTTTGTCTTTTGCTCTTGGCATTTTAATTATGATGTGTCTTGGTGTGGTCCTCTTTGGATTTGGGGTTCTGTGCGTTTCCTGGACTTGTAATTCTATTTCTTTCACCAGATGGGGGAAGTTTCATATCATTATTTCTTTTAATAGGTTTTCAGTGTCTTGCTCTCTCTCTTCTTCTGACACCCCCGTAATTCTGATGTTGGTATACTTGAAGTTGTCCCAGAGGCTTCTTAAACTATCTTCAACTTTCTGGATTCTCTTCTCTTCTTGCTTCTCTGGAATAGTGTCCTTTGCCTCTTTGTATTGCAAATCTTTGACTTGATTCTTGCATTCTTCTAGTCTGCTGTTAGGTATCTGTATAATATTTTTAATTTCAGTTAGTGTATGTTTAATTTCTAGTTGATCCTTTTTCATATCCTCGAGGGTCTCGTTAAATTTATCAGGCTTTTCTAGGAAATTCTTGAAAAACCTTATAACCATGGTTTTGAACTCTATATCAAGTCTTTTGTTCTCCTCCATTTCTTTTGTTTGAGACTTATTTCCTTTTCTCAGCATTTTCCCTGCTTCCCTGAGTTGGTAGGGTAGCTTTGTGAGCTTGGGTGTCCTATATGGTTCAATCAGTCAGCCTCCCAGTTGCCTGATGTGGACACTCTTGGTACACTCCTTTGTGGACTGTGTGTACACCCTTGTTGTAGTTAAGTCTTGATTATTGTTGGTATTACTGGAAGGAATTGACCTCCAAGCCAACTGGCTGTGAGGACCCACTGTGTCTATAATGGAAGAATTTCTGTGCTGGAGACATGTTTATGGGGGAGGACTTGTGCCCATAGGGCTTTGGTGCTCACTGAGTCTGTCTCTTGAATGTGTCTTTTAGGAGAGTAGTTGAAATCTGATGTGGTATCACACCAACCACTAGATACACTAGTTTCTGGATCTCTACTGGGGTGCAGTTCAGCTACTGTCTGAGGCCACCCAGCAAGAGCTACAGCAAGAACTACAGTTTTCTCTTCTTTGCTTGGGATTTGGCAGTTTTGGAGCTGGAGCTGCAGTTTATTTCATTAAGCTGCCATAGTGTAGGCCATTTATATGCAAAAGCAGCTGTGTGGAGCCTGGGAGGGTTTGTAGAAATTGTGGGGTGGGGCTTTAAGGGGGACAGGGTCTCAGGACATCACTAGGTTGGGGCATGGCAAACAGTGATGGCTGCTGTCAGCCGTCTCTGCCTTTCTGCGTTTGCTAGTCCCTGCATCCCCAAGCTCCAGCGCAGTAAACAATGATTGCTGCGTGCATCTCTCCAAAAAAGTCACCCTCACTTTTGGAGCCGATGGCCGACAGACCAGCTTCTCCCTGTAGGCATCTGGGTCCTCTGTGTGACCCCAGAAATTGGATTTCAGAGTGATCTGGAGCTTGTTTCCATTCTGTGCGCCCAGTTGCCTGCCACCAGCTCGATTTGCGTGCCTCCGTACCTAGGCTTTTCTGCTTTTCAGCACTTGTGTTCCTTTCTCTTTCAGCCAGCTTTCCCGTGGTTCTGGGTGATAGACATTTTGTCTTTTAGTTGTAGTTTTGAATTCTTGTGCGAGGCGGCAGATTAGTTGTTTACCTATGCCGCCATCTTGGTTTTCTCCTCACGGAGGACTTTGCTCCACTGGAGTTGAGGCCTCTCACGATGGCTCACGGTGCGAGGCTCAGGGTTCGGGGTTCACAGAGCTTTGACTGATGCAGGCAGGGGAAGTAGAGAGCGACTGTCTGTGGAGGAGCAGAAGGAACATCTCTGATCTGTGGAGCTTCCTCTTTTTATGTGTCCAGTTCACAGATGTGTCTTTGGTGTGTCTTATCAGTGGGACCCAGGAGCCTTGCTATCTGGTTTTACATATGGGGTACAGATCACTTTATCTATTTCCTACATACAGGTCACTCAAGGGTGCTTATCAGTTTATTTACATTACATTTCTTACTTTCAGATATCACACTTCAATTCTACACTTTAACACTTATTCAATATTGTATTTATCCTTATTACTATTACTATAACAGTAAGTCCTCCTGATAGTCCTTGAGGGAATCATCCGTCCACCTGTCTGTTTTTCGCTTTCCTTTCCAGGGCACATACTCTTCAGCTGGGCATTTTTCAGCAGCTCGCAGTTGGTTTGGCCTGGGGTTCTGGCTTGTCTTCAATGCGAACTTTTCCCTCACATTGGGACTTGCTCTGCTTTTCTTGTTTCCCCTCAGCATCTGGCTGTCCTTGATCTTGGAGCTTTCCCTCGTGCTCTGGCTTCTTCTTCACTTCTGGCTTTTCCTTCCCGTCTGACTTTCCTTCATCCTCTGTATCTATTTTATCTTCTGGCTTTCCCTCGCTTTCCAGCTTTCCTTCATTTTCATTATAGAGTTTTTTCATGTTGAGATGTTCCCTCCCTTTTCTATACTGGGGAGTAGGATGGGGTGGGGGAGGAGGAGAGGAAGAGAAGACAAGGAAGACTGAGGACTGGCTCAGATAGTACAGGCATCTGGCCCATGGTTAGGGCTCCCCTGAGCTGGCCTTCTGCCACATTTTCCCCCACTGTACACACGAGCGCCAACCATTTCTCTGGTAAGCTCTGGTATCTTCTGTATCATCCATCCTTCAGTCTAATGGGTTGTATTCATATATGGAGGTGAGCCCTCATATTTTGCCCAAGCTGTGTCCTCCACACTCATACACCCCACCTCAGTGCCCCCACGCCCCTTCATTCACCTGCAGGAATTCTGGACAGGTTCTTCCTTTCTGTGCTTGGTAGAGTGCTGGGATCAGACACACAGACCTGCAGACAGGACAAGAAACCGGGCCACCAGTGTCTGTGCGCTCAGTGGACTGGTGTCTCTTTCCTGAATCAGGGGAATCCACATCCAACGTTGCCTTCCCATCTGCCCCGCACCCAAGTGGCCATATCTCTTTTCAGGATGGGGGCACCAGACCAGGAAGCTTTCCAAACTGTTTGTGCTTCTGTGTCCTCCTCCCCTGTAGTTAACCCACCCCACCCTCACCCCTTTTTCGTGGAGGTCGATATTTCCTTACAGGCCCAGTGGGTGGGATATTTCCAGAATATGCCTACATTTCACTGCCGCACTGTGGTATGTGCCCCCTCCCATTTCGGGTTCCAAAATGGATGGAGGGCCTAGAGGTGGGGCATTGAGGTGGCAGCAGACCCTGTGATGGTGTCTTCCTTACCTGTCCATGCCAGTGCTGCATCCATCTCCTCCCCCATCTCCGTAACTCTTTAGCTTCCCCACCCTACCACTTTTCCCCATCATTGCATCCACCTTCACCCCAACCATGGCTGCTGGCAAGGCCCACCAGCATATTCACCTGCAGGCCCGGGCCAGGCCTGCGCCTCCTCAACCTCATGGAAGCCCACTCGCCTCTCGCCTACTGCCAGGGCATCTCAGGGAGGTGGCACCCCACGGCAAGGGAAGCTGACGGTGTTGGGATTTGTCTGGGGGCAGGGGCTGCTCCCCACGTGGGCACTCGGCAGATCACATGAGCATCGCATCACCCCCAACTGAACCCCACCCCTGTCACCCAAATCCTGGGTGACCTGGCTGCTGTAGACTGTGGAGGGTGGAGGGAAAAGGTGGGTGATGGCAATGGGGATACTTACTGAAATTTTTCTCCACATCCTTGACATCAGGAGGCAGCTTTCTGCCCACAGATTCTTTACCTGTTGCATCTCAGGTCCTCGCCCAACATCCCTGTGAGATATCCATTATCTCACAGCTAACCACAGGGAGGGTACCCTACTTCACGAAGAGTGCTCAGGAACTCAGCCCCACAGCCTACTTTCAAGACCAGCTCTGCCTGACTGGAGTCTGATGGCGGTGCCTGCCAGAAAGTTGTGCTGCCACCTTGGTGTTCCAGAGCCTCCTCTATTCTCAGTCCACATGTTCTCTCCGAGTTATCTGTTTATTTTCCTCCAAGCACAGATGATTCCCAATTTAATTACATCTCCAGGTTAGTCCCTCCCCTGAGGCTCAGACCTGTTTTTTGCTTTCCCACTAGCAATACAGGAGTGTGTTTCCCCACACCCTTTCTACCATAATGTATAACTTTTTAATTTCCAGTAATATTATAGGTGAGAAGTCTCTCAATTGCATTTTATTTTAATATCATTGTATACTGTATGTACATGTCTTCCCACATATTTCTATTGGGTGGTTCTTTCATTTTTCAAATGTTCTTTATACATTAACTAAGGCTAACTGGTTTATCTCAGGTCCATCCATACTGTCTCAGAGTAAGAGAGCCTTCTTTTTTATAGCTGCATAGTATCCCATTGTGTAAATGTACCAAAGCTGTTTTATACATTCTTCTACTGATGGGCACTGGGCTGTTTCCAGATTTTAGGTATTGGAAATAATGCTGCTATAAACATAAGGGTGCATATATTCTTTCTGATTGCTTTTTTGGGGATTTTAGGATATCGTCCCAGAAGTGGAATGGCTGGGTGAAATGGCAGATCCATTTTCAATTTTTTGAGGAACCTCCATACTGTTTTCCATAGTGGCTGTATGTCTGCATTCCCACCAGCAGTGTACTAGTGTTCCTTTTTCTCCACATCCTTTACAGCACTTTTGTTTTTTGATTTATTGATGGTAGCCATTCTGGCAGGTGTAAGATGATACCTCATTGTAGTTTTAATTTGCATGTCTCTGATGATTAGTGACTAAGCATTTTTCATGTGTCTATTGTCTGCCATACATTTTAATCTGTAGTTAAATTTATCATACTTCTTTGCATCTAGATTTTGATTCATAGTTAAGAACTTTTTCTATGTGAGGTCAAAAAGGAATTTACCCATATTTTCTTTCATTTGTCTTGAAGGTACCTGTTAATGAATAAAGGTTAAGGAGTAAACCAGCACCAAACTGAGCTGAACCTAAAGCTGACTCAAGATACTAGAGTAACAAATATCAAAACCAAAGGCTCATTGAAAGAGGAGTTTCCTAACAAACCATCACTCATATAATGCTAGAAACCAAAATGTTTCAGATTAAGGTTAATTACAAACTGGAAATACACTAGCCCTCAGAAAGTCTTTAAGTTTGGTTTTGCAACGTGTAGGTGGCCTCTGAACATAGATTATGGTGGTTCCATACAGGAATCACCCTTACTGGACTAGCAAACAAAATCTTCTTTGGAGTAAAATACTGTTAACTTATTTCTCAAGTTATTTCAATAAACAAATGTTCATGTACAATGCTGACACCTAAAAATAACCAGAAACACAAAGAAAAAAAAGAGATAATTACGCGAAAAGCAGCAGAGATAATAGGTAACAAACGGATCCATTAGCTTTGAATTATTGGATACAGATTATCCTATCTAATAAAGAGGGAATATGCTAATTGACCATCACTCTGTCACAAAGATGGCTGTACCCACAGCTGAAGCCAAGTTCCCATAAAGTGCCTTAACGAGCAATCAGCAGGCACCTGAGGCTATGCCTTCGCCCACCCACCAGGGCTTGAAAAGGCGACCTCAGGCCACATCCCCCGCCCCAGCATAAGTCTGGGGGACCTGAGGTCATGCTCCCTGCCAATAAATGTAATGAAAATAAATAAAAACAATAAAAATACTTAGTGTATTAAGATAAATAAAATCCAATCTTGACATTTCAACAGAGAATTAGAAGGAAAAAAAAAAAAGGAAATTCTAAAACTAAAAAATAACAAATTGGAAGCTCAATGGATGGCCAAAAAAATACAGCTCAAGAAAGAATAACGTCTTGTTGGTATTTCTCAGTAGTTACACCACCAGCCTGCTTCACCAAAGTACTACCTTTTGATCTCAGTAGTTACACCACCAGCCTGCTTCACCAAAGTACTACCTTTTAATTAATTAATTAATTATATTCAGAAGAAACTATAAGGTTGAACAGGTAGTAAAAAATATGTAAAATATGTATGGGAGAGTATAATAAGGCCTAACATGATTTGTTTTATTAAATTTATTGGAATAACATTGGTTTAAAAAATTATACAGGTTCCAGGTGTACAATTCTATAATATATCATCTGTATAGTATACTGTGTGTTCACCACCAAAGGTCTAACATATGTTTAATTAGAGTTTGAAAGGAAAAGAGAAATTGATGTGTTCAGAGGCAATATTTGAAGATATAATGGCTGAGGATTTTTCAGAACTGATGAAAGATATTGATCTATAGATTCAAGAAGTCCAACATACCCCAAACAGAATAAGTAAAAAGAAACCCATGCATAGATGTATAATTGAACTTGCACAGAATCAAAGACAAAGACAAATAACAAAAGTAGTCAGAAAAAATAAAGTATCCCTTGAAAAGAACAAAAGTTAGGCTGACTTCTGGCTTCTTAGAAACAATGGAAGCATGAGGTTGGTAAAATATCTTTGGTGTCCTAAAAGAAAATGAAAAATACCCTTCACAAATAAAGGTGAAATAAAGACCTTTAAAAATAAATAGAAACAGACAGAGTTTGCCAGCCACAGGCATGAACCAAAAGAAATACTAAATACTACAGGGAAACTGGAAAATGATTACAGATGGAAGTCTGAAGATGAAGGAAGCGATAAATGGCAATTAAAAAGGATATATATCACCGAAGCTGGTTTGGCTCAGTGAAAGAGCGTCAGCCTGGGGACTTAAGGGTCCCGGGTTCGATTCCAGTCAAGGGCATGTACATTGGTTGCGGGCACATCCCCAGTGGGGTGTGTGCAGGAGGCAGCTGGTCAATGTTTCTCTCATCGACGTTTCTAACTCTCTATCCCTCTCAATTCCTCTCTGTATAAAATCAATAAAATATATTTTTAAAAAGATAAATATCTATGTATTATAAGTTTAAATTAATGTTATATAAAACAATAATATTATCTTATTAATGCATGTTGTTAAAGAATGACTCAAAAGGGTTGGAGCAAAACTATTTAAGTTTCTGCACTGCCAGGCCTCTGTGGCTCAATTGCTTGAGCATAGTTCCATGCACTGAGAGGTACACGTTCGATTCTAGGTCAGGACACATTGCCAGGTTGTGGACTTGATCCCCAGTAGGGGCAATGTTTCTCTCTCATCATCTATGTTTCTATCTCTCTCTCCGTCTCCCTTCCTCTCTCTGAAATCAATAAAGACATACTTTTAAAAAGAAATGTAGCCCTAGCAGGTTTGGCTTAGTGGATAGAGCATCAACCTGAAGACTGAAGGATCCCAGGTTCAATTCCAGTCCAGAGCACATACCTCAGTTGCAGGCTTCTCCCCTAGCCAGGGCCCTGGTAGGGCGAGTGTGGGAGGCAACCAATCAATGTGTTTCTCTCACATCGATGTTTCGCTCTATCTTGCCCTCTCTTACACTCTTTTTAAAAACCAAGAGGAACATTTGTAATAATCTTAACAATAAAGATTTATTAAAAAATAAATTTAAAAAAAAATCAATGGAAAATCCTCAGGTGAGGATAAAAAACAACAGCAACACACTAACAAAAAAACAGAATAAAAAAGAAATGTATAGCCGAAACCGGTTTGGCTCAGTGGATAGAGCGTCGGCCTGCGGACTCAAGGGTCCCGGGTTTGATTCCGGTCAAGGGCATGTACATTGGTTGTGGGCACATCCCCAGTAGGGGGTGTGCAGGAGGCAGCTGATCAATGTTTCTCTCTCACCGATGTTTCTAGCTCTCTATCCCTCTCCCTCTCTGTGAAAAATCAATAAAAAATATATTTTTTAAAAAAAGAAATGTATAGATCAACTGAAGGACTTATATACATGCATGTAAGTACAACCAATGGACACAAAACTCTGAGGAGGGAGGGCATGTATGTAAGGGGGTGGGCAATGGTATATGTACAAAGATAATAATTTAATAAAAAAGTTCAAAAAAATAATAAAAAAGTAAAAAAAGAAATGTAAAAATATTTTCATTTTTAATTAAATGAAAAAAAAATTGAGGAATGTAGCAAAAGTAGTGCATGCTTCATGGTAAATTTCTAGCTTAAATGAGAAAAGAATAAAGATCTAACATCAATAACCTAAGCCTTTTCTTAGCTAACTAAAGAAAGAAGAATAATTTAAGCCTAGAGCAAGCAGAAAAATAATATAAGTCTAGAGCAAGCAGAAGAATGAAATATAGAAGAAAAAAAATTAAAGTGAAAGAAAGAAAACAGAAAATGAACAAAACTTTTCTGGTTCTTTGAAAAGATAAATAAAATTTGTAAATCTCTTATCAGAATAACCAAGAAAAAACAAAGACCTAAGTTAACAATATCAGAAATTAAGTTGGGATTATCACTCCTGATCCCATGGACATTAAGATAATGAAGGAATATTGTTATTAATTCTATGCCTACATATTTGACAACTTAGGGGAAGTGAACCAATTTCTTGAAAGACAAACTACTAAAACTCACACATATATAAATAACTTGAATAGCTATTTATGTATTAAAGAACTGAATCAATAATTAATAACCTTCCAAAGATAGACATCATCAGGACCAAGTTCTACCAAACATTTAAGGATCACCAGTGAACATTCAGAAATTAGTGAATTCTACTAAACATTATGTTGTGGGATTGAACCCTGGGTTCAAAATAAGACCACTGGAGGCTGATGATTGATTAAAAAAAGCAGGCAAGGGTTTATTGAAAAACTGGCCAGGACAGCCACAAGAGCACCACACGCAGGTGGCCACACTCACCACTGCATTATTCCAGGTGTAGGCAG